GTACATCCTCTTAAGTACTCATTCTTTCTCAATGTACATAACACTTGTCACAACCAATGCCTCAGAATAATGCACATGACAAGCTCACACAAATAATGAGGAGATGAGCATTTTCATAACATCGCACAGTTCACAACCACACAAACATGAAGTCACATCAACAATGATTCAACAAGTCTTCAACCCTTTCTCAACACATCACACATAAACAATTAATCACATTGCCTTTTGTTATCCTTTGTTTTTTCATCATTATAATTAATCAATGTGGACAAGTCAACCCATTCACCGATCCCGTTACTCCCAAACATATACCACAAGGAAATACACGCATTTCATACACTTAACAAGAGTTTAGAAATCCACTTGCCTCAAATAGTCGAACAATGACTCCAAAACTTGAGCCTTCCTCTTTTGGTTGACTTCCAAACCAATAAAATCTATTCAAATAAATAACCACGATATGATTTCGAAACTAACAACATTCATATTGCTATATCTCTATCTTAGAACCAAACTCATCCGAATTTATAATAAAATTTCTAAATCTTTATTCCAACCAATTGATCAAATCTCATATTTTCTAAATTTCAAGTTTAAGGTTAAATATTAATTCTCCGAATAACATAATTATAATGATTTTTATATATCATAATGCACCCACTATTTAACACATATCTCAATATATCAAAACTTGAATCCTTATATGATAATTAAATGAAAATAATTAAAGCCGAAACTAACTGCCCAACATATCAATAGCGGACTACAAAACTATCTGCTGAAACCACTTATTTTCAATGTTTCAATTCATATTTATCGTTCCACTATTAATAATCCTAATCTTTGAGTAATCATTGTCCAATGATTAGGACTAATCATTGTCCAATGATTGAACCATAATACTTATACACATTTATAACCCCAAGTTCACAAGTTCACATATTAGTATAAATTATACACGTTTTAACCTAAAAATCTATTCCTAGTTACACAAAAATTTAATAGAAAGGATAAGAATAATTACCTTGATACCTCGAGATAAAAATATTGTTGTTTCTCCTCCTTTTTCCTTTTCTTTTCTCCCTTTCTTTTCTTTTCTTATCTGCGTTTTTTTCCACAAATCGTTCCTTCTTCTCTTTTGTTTTTCTCATAAGCCGTGTGCGGCTTCAACCATTTAGGGCACTTTGCCCTTTTTTTAATCATTTTATTTTATTTTATTTTTTAATTTGATTTTCTTTTGTTTTTCCATTTTTTTCCTTTTTCATTATTCTTAGCAATAAAATAATTCTTTATTAAATCTAAAAATTATGTCACTCATTCTTATAAGTCATATAAATTATTTACAAAATCTACTAAAAAGGTTAATATAATAATGCTGGTTAAAATTTCTAAAACGACTAAGAGGATCATTTCATCCATTCTCTAAAAGATTTCACCTAGTAAAGAAGAAAAAATGAAAATCTCGGTAGATCTATGAACCAAAAAGAAGCTGAATCAATGATCTAGATTAGAATAAGAAAAAGAAAATTCTTTTTAGATTCATTTTTCTTCTCTACCTTTTTCCTTTCCCCTCAAATGAAGTACAACACACACAAAAGGTGAGGCCAAAAAATGAATTTAGAAAGAAAAAAAAGTGTAGTTGTATATGTAATGTAAAGAGTCTCAATAAAATAAATTTTGGACTATGCACATTATATATAGTTCCAAAAATTTGGTTGATGTGACAAAAAAAAAAGAAGATAAAATTTTGAAATTAACTCAAAATTAGGGTAAGGCGTGAACATTTTTAATTTCAAATTGGAGCTCAAATTTTGAATTTAAATTTCAAAATCATACTTACTAATTTTCATAATAATAAATTGGACTATTTTGGATTATACTTTATAACTCTAGATTGCATTTACTTACGATCAAAAATTTATAAATATTCCAAAAAAGAACAATTGATTATTTTTCTAGCAGTTCTGGAAAAGTTTTAAATTTGTGGTCAATGTAGTTTATCTCAAAATGAAAAATAATTATTTGGTCAAATCTCTTTTCATTAATATTAGGTGTTGATATAAAATTATGTGACTTGGTACAACATACCAAAATCGTTGAACATATAATTTTTGAAATTCTGGCCCTCATTTTAAAAATGATTGCATACATGTTTTCTTATCGCTGAAATAATATTCCTTTTTAAGAAATCAGACATTATTGAAAGATTTTTTATCGGCGATTAATTCTATTTCTTATTCAAATAAAAAAATCTTTCATTTAATTGCATGATTATATATGTTGAAGTTATACATAAAATATAATAATACCTCGGGTTATTCTTGTAGTATCTCACAATTTTCTAGTCTTATATCCGTAGTCGTAAGAATATCAACTTAGGCCCGGTGATATAATACTTGTTCATATTTATTAAGGCTCATTCTTAAGTAGTAGAAGTGCTTTAGATTTGAGTTAAAGTCATAATGAATCTTTAGCACAAAGTTGAGTTGAAAGGTTCCCTAACGACTAATTTTTTTAAAATTACTAAATTATTCAAAATAGTAAAATGAAAATAGTTCAATAAAAAAAATTCTTACATGTTTCAAATTGTCCTCTAGAAAAATAAAATTTTAAGTCACTATCCTATTAAAGTAATACAATTTTATTAAAAAGGTGAATTTTTTTATAAATTTTATTTTCGGAAAAGGGTCAAAGTACCCTTTGGACTATTTGAAAATGTTTAAATATACCCTTTCTCCATTTATTGGGATAAATATACCTCTCCGTCTTACTCCACCTATTTGGTCCATTTCTACCTTAAAACTAACCCCTTTTTTTTATTAAAAAAAATTATTATTATTATTATTATTTATTATGTGTTAATTTCTTATAAGATAAATTAGGAAACAAACCATTTAATTGTCTCGACCCGCTCCGACCTATTCCAATACCCACAACCCCAAACCCAATTAAAGACCCATGAATTGATCGCTCTTTCTTTCTCCCTTTAACCCTAATAATAGCCTTTTCTTCTTCCCTCTTTTCTTCTTTAACAATTTCAACACTAATATCAATAAATGATAAATTTTCCAGTGCAACACTAACGGTAAGGCAGCAATGACTTCGAACAAGTTGGTTGTAGAGAAGAAACAAAGAGTTGGAAAATTAAAGGCTAAGATGGGCAAGCATTAGACAAATAACTTATCTCGAAATAACTTGTTCATAGCCAAATGAATCTCATCAAACAATAGTTTAATTTCATTTTTTAGAAGAGATCAAACCATATGACACAAAGGTCAAGCTTTAGCATATTTGAGTATCATGTTGATAAGATAAAGACCATTCGAGTTAATATCTCAGATTGTTACTAAACTATGCACTATTCTTTCAGAAAGTCACTCAACTTTCAATTTTAACTCAAAAGTCACTCAATTATGCATTTCTCTTTCAGATTGTCACTCAATTTTGAATTTTAACTCAAAAGTCGCTCAACTATCTCCTCTTTCCTCAAAATATCACTTAATCTATTTAATTATTTCTTTTAATTAAAATTTGTTAATATTAATTGTTTATATAACAAATCAAAATTTTAAAAAACAAAAATATCATTTAAACCATTTAGTGATCCACCCACCTAACCCGACCAATTAAAAAAAATATGACCTATTTTATTCTGCCCTTAATCCTAAATTATTTCCCTCTTTGTAATGCGGAGAGGATACAAAGATAGAGATTTTCTCAATCTGAACTTCCTTTTACTCCTTTGCAACTATATCTTTTGTGCTTTTGTTATCCGACCCACAATCTCTTCACTTCCTATTACTTGTGTGCCTATATCCCTTGCTTCCAAAACTGCAACCAACTAATCACATTGGCTAATCACAATGCATTAACACGACCAAAACAGTATTGATACAATGGAAAAATGTACTTGAACTTAGCTTAAGTGTGGATTTTAGGCATATAAATATGCACAATATCATGACCTATGGGAAAAGGGGGAGGAAAAGACAACAAATAAATAACTGACTAATTTATAATCCTTGAGGGACTTATTCACGATTTACTTTTCATTATTTCATGTAGTTAAAAGATAGGTAAAATAATATATTTATTCCTTTTTTGTCCACCTTTGGAAGGATTATCAAGGCAATATTAGAGAAATTTTATATTGCTAACTCTATTACAAGTTTTAGCACTAATGAAATTACATGTGCTTTTTGAGGAATCACAACTCCATTACGTGTTCTAAGTTTCATATAAGATGAGATACAAAGGAAATTGAGTGTTGGAAAATGTTAAATATGAGAATTAAAAGGGATAGACACATTGCAAGAAGCATCAGCATTAGCAAAAAAAATATTTTGTGGCTAGCGATTTAGTGTCATCGGCGGTGAATGATTTTGAATAAGAGGTCGTAGTGATCAGACAACACCTAATCCAAATAATTTTTTCTACATATGTTATTTTATCAAACTTCAAGATATGTGTTTTTGAGTTTTTATTAAATTTATCAAGTACACAACGAATTCAATAAAATGCACGACATTTATTGAACGCAAAAATCTTATAAAAGAAACACTCGAAAAAGATGAATAAAATGTTTATTTTTCTTTTTGGAAAGAGAAATAAAAGCTTATATCCGAGGATTCACATCTAAGGTGATGAAAAATCTAGAGTAAAATTAAGGATTAATAATAAAGTGTATTGAGACATAGAATTAAATATTTTTAGTAGTAGGACTACAAAAATATGATAATTAATCTTTGGATAAAATATTCTTGATAATTTAGTGTACTCACTTGAAAATAAAATCAATATGATCATCGATAAGCTTATTGAGATAGTTTATCACTGGGTGGAGCGCAGATAATTTACCTAGTATATAAATAATTACTAATGAAATTATTTTCTTATAACTATATATAAGAAGGAAAACAAAGGATGAAAGATTTTTTTCTTGATTTGGTAGAAGTGAAAATAATAATATTCAAGAAACCATTTAACAGTACTTATTGCTAATAAAAACTAAAATCTCTACTCATTAAAAATAGGACAAAGAACCCCAAACAACCAACCAATATCCCTAATAGTTCTTCAAGAATGATACAAAGCTTTAGTCATGACAGTAGCATTATTATAACGAACTAAAGAAGATGGTTAATTCATGGAGATAAAGCTTAAGCATTGGGAATGAAGACTCTGGCAGATATTTTGTGAAATCTTCAAGTAAATCTGGATGATCATTGAGACATATGGCAACCTACACATAAAAGAAAAAGATAGTCACAAATTAAAACATCAAGACCATCTAATAATATTTGTGTATCCAAATTAAAAATGACTTATCACCTTATGATAGACATCATTGATGTTCTTGTTGTGCTCCTCTTTATACATCTTCAAAATGTCTAAGAAGGATTTGTACACATGTTCGTCATTTTGAAAACGCTCCTACACAAAGTTATGACCGCAATATTCTTAATACTCCATATTCACATTCAAAACTAGAAAATATTTCAAAATACACACTCTTTGTTGTTCTTTTAGTCTTTAATTTAGCTTTATAAGATGCAGCGGAGAAGTTTCAAATTTTGTCAAGGGAGTTTAGAAGTTTGGTATATATCTTTAAAAAGGTACTTTAACCCGTCTAGATCGTATTATTTTTTATATTAACAATAGACCAACCTTGGGTAATGTAGCTAAATCATCGATAAAACAAGTGCTTAAAATACAAATTTTTATACCACTAATTGTTGTGAGATATACTTACAACGCATGTACAAGTACATGATAAAAGAAGTGAGAAGATAGAATAATAACCTTTACTTTCTTCACAAAGGTGACAACTTGTTCAAGATTAATTCTCTGTGGAGAAGCCTCATCTTGATCTTTGTCTTGCTCTTCATCCCACTTTGCAAGAAATCCAACTACAAAAGCAATTATCAATAATAATGAAAATTAATTTTCACAATTAAATTTACTATCATGACTTACCAACTCGTTCATAACGCTCTATAAATTCATTGAAACCCTCCATAAGCTCAGGATATTTTGCAAGTGTATTAGCAACCTGAAATAAGTATCTTTCATGCTTTCAAATCTATCATATCACAATTTGTTATTTAGTATACCGCTTGTCTAGCCTATGATTTGCAATCAAACCATTGATAGAAGAAATTGTAAACAAAGATTATTGTCGTAAAGGATGAAAAAATGATAGGTTAGATGCATGATCAACATACCAATCTTTGTAACTGCTCTCTTGTAATTATTTCTTTGCTATAAATATAAAGACATTTTAGGAATGCCTGATAATCCGCCCGACTTCTTACTCTTTCCTTTGCCTTTTCACAAAAAGTGAACTCTTTGACATGTGTGTCTGAAAAAATTAAACAATTATATTAAAAATCATACTAATCAAATAGAAATTTTCAAAAAGTGCTAATCATGAACTGACGTTTCAGTGCATCTTCAACTTGTTCTTCATAATCCTCAATGTGAGTTCTTTTACCCATATTCTCTTTTTCAGCACGCGTCGTTTTTTGCTCTTTATGCAACCTCATCAATGTTTTGTTGTTGTCCAAATTAGTACTTGAATTCAACAAGAACATAGTGCACTCATCTAGCAAATCTGGATGGTCATTGAGAATTATGGCAACCTAAATAGCCAAAAAAAATATGAAGGTCGTCGTTTATATAACATTTGTAAATCCAAATTACAAATGATTTATTACCACATGGTACACCTCTTTGATGTCCTTGTTCTCCTTTCTATACACGCTCAAAATATTTATGAAGGATTTGTAGTCATGGTCTTCTAAACGTTTCTGCAAGAAGTTATACTTGAGTAAGTTAAGATTAAAGTACGACCTTTATTATTAAAATTATAAGATAACACATATCTAACCTTTATTTTGTTCACTAAATTGATTGCGTGTTCAAAGTCAAATTTACTAGCACTAGAACCTCCTTTATCTTTGCTAGCTCTGCGAGTGTCACCTCCTCTAATAATAAAAGAAAAGGCATATATACCAAATTAAATGGTCAATGTAATTATGTAATTATAGGTATGATCTAATAATAAATTAAGTGGGTGAAGTTATGGAAGATTGCAAATCAAATGCTTGAATTTTTACACCTTATTGACGTCAAAGTATATAACTAAATGAGGTAACATTTTAATTGGTTACAATATCAATACAATTGATACTTGGAAAACAATGTTGGAAGGTTTTCTAAAATTCGAACTAAAAGTCTTAAATAAGGCTACTTTATCATGTGTTCAATTGAAACAAGTTGTAATTTGAGTGGCTAAATGAATTAAATTGATTTACAACTTCTGTATAACTAAAGGAGTACACATGTTTAAATGATTAACATATCTACATAATTAACACTTAAAAATACATACAAAAATGTTTGTCAATTTTAAATTGAAACTTTGTGATAGAAATAATCATTCATGTGTTTCTAAGCTCATGAAGTGGAACAAGTTGTTATTCGAGTATCTACACAAATTAAGCCAACTTGTATTGTTCTCAAATTCAAGTACTGGTTAATATACGTTTTCATTCACTTTAAATCAAGGTTTAACTTGGGCAGAACCAAAACTTTATGATAGTCATGTACATAAATTAAAAATCACTACAGAGATACTTTACGATTCTCTAGGGAAGAATCAACTGACCTCTTAAATCGAGGGTTATCATGTGCATCATCTCCAAATCGCTTCATCCTACAAAAATAGAACAACAACAATATTTTACAATAAAAACGATACAAAAAAGGAATAAAAATGCATGCTCCATTCTCTAAAAGATTTCACCTAGTAAAGAAGAAAAAATGAAAATCTCAGTCGATCCATGAACAAAAAAGAAGCTAAATCAATGATCTAGATTAGAATAAGAAAAAGAAAATTCTTTTTAGATTCATTTTTCTTCTCTACCTTTTTCCTTTTGCCTCAAATGAAGTACAACACACACAAAAGGTGAGGCCAAAAAATGAATTTAGAAAGAAAAAAAAGTGTAGTTGTATATGTAATGTAAAGAGTCTCAATAAAATAAATTATGGACTATGCACATTATATATAGTTCCAAAAATTTGGTTGATGTGACAAAAAAAAAAGAAGATAAAATTTTGAAATTAACTCAAAATTAGGGTAAGGCGTGAACATTTTTAATTTCAAATTGGAGCTCAAATTTTGAATTTAAATTTCAAAATCATACTTACTAATTTTCATAATAATAAATTGGACTATTTTGGGTTATACTTTATAACTCTAGATTGCATTTACTTACGATTAAAAATTTATAAATATTCCAAAAAAGAACAATTGATTATTTTTCTAGCAGTTCTGGAAAAGTTTTAAATTTGTGGTCAATGTAGTTTATCTCAAAATGAAAAATAATTATTTGGTCAAATCTCTTTTCATTAATATTATGTGTTTATATAAAATTATGTGACTTGGTACAACATACCAAAATCGTTGAACATATAATTTTTGAAATTCTGGCCCTCATTTTAAAAATGATTACATACATGTTTTCTTATCGCTGAAATAATATTCCTTTTTAAGAAATCAGACATTATTGAAAGATTTTTTTATCGACGATTGATTCTATTTCTTTTTCAAAAAAAAAAAATCATTCATTTAATTGCATGATTAGATATGTTGAAGTTATACATAAAATATAATAATACCTCGGGTTATTCTTGTAATATCTCACAATTTTCTACTCTTATATCCGTTGTCGTAAGAATATCAACTTAGGCCCGGTGATATAATACTTGTTCGTATTTATTAAGGCCCATTCTTAAGTAGTAGAAGTGTTTTAGATTTGAGTTAAAGTCATAATGAATCTTTAGCACAAAGTCGAGTTGAAAGGTTCCGTAACGACTAATTTTTTTAAAATTACTAAATTATTCAAAATAGTAAAATGAAAATAGTTCAATAAAAAAAATTCTTACATGTTTCCAATTGTCTTCTAGAAAAATAAAATTTTAAGTCACTATCCTATTAAAGTAATACATTTTTATTAAAAAGGTGAATTTTTTTATAAATTTTATTTTCGGAAAAGGGTCAAAGTACCCTTTGGACTATTTGAAAATGTTTAAATATACCCTTTCTCCATTTATTGGGATAAATATACCTCTCCGTCTTACTCCACCTATTTGGTCCATTTCTACCTTAAAACTAACCCCTTTTTTTATTAAAAAAATTTATTATTATTATTATTATTTATTATGTGTTAATTTCTTATTAGATAAATTAGGAAACAAACCATTTAATTGTCTCGACCCGCTCCGACCTATTCCAATACCCACAACCCCAAACCCAATTAAAGACCCATGAATTGATCGCTCTTTCTTTCTCCCTTTAATCCGAATAATAGCCATTTCTTCTTCCCTCTTTTCTTCTTTAACAATTTCAACACTAATATCAATAAATGATAAATTTTCTAGTGCAACACTAACGGTAAGGCAGCAATGACTTCGAATAAGTTGGTTGTAGAGAAGAAACAAAGAGTTGGAAAATTAAAGGCTAAGATGGGCAAGCATTAGACAAGTAACTTATCTCGAAATAACTTGTTCATATCCAAATGAATCTCATCAAACAATAGTTTAATTTCATTTTTTAGAAGAGATCAAACCATATGACACAAAGGTCAAGCTTTAGCATATTTGAGTATCATGTTGATAAGATAAAGACCATTCGAGTTAATATCTCAGATTGTTACTAAACTATGCACTATTCTTTCAGAAAGTCACTCAACTTTCAATTTTAACTCAAAAGTCACTCAATTATGCATTTCTCTTTCAGATTGTCACTCAATTTTGAATTTTAACTCAAAAGTCGCTCAACTATCTCCTCTTTCCTCAAAATATACTTAATCTATTTAATTATTTCTTTTAATTAAAATTGGTTGATATTAATTGTTTATATAACAAATCAAAACTTTAAAAAACAAAAATATCATTTAAACCATTTAGTGATCCACCCACCTAACCCGACCAATTAAAAAAAATATGACCTATTTTATTCTGCCTTTAATCCTAAATTATTTCCCTCTTTGTAATGCGGAGAGGATACAGAGATAGAGATTTTCTCAATCTGAACTTCCTTTTACTCCTTTGCAACTATATCTTTTGTGCTTTTGTTATCCGACCCACAATCACTTCACTTCCTATTACTTGTGTGCCTATATCCCTTGCTTCCAAAACTGCAACCAACTAATCACATTGGCTAATCACAATGCATTAACACGACCAAAACAGTATTGATACAATGGAAAAGTGTACTTGAACTTAGCTTAAGTGTGGATTTTAGGCATATAAATATGCACAATATCATGACCTATGGGAAAAGGGGGAGGAAAAGACAACAAATAAATAACTGACTAATTTATAATCCTTGAAGGACTTATTCACGATTTACTTTTCATTGTTTCATGTAGTTAAAAGTGTTGGGTTTTATTTGCCCTGATTTCTTACCATAAATAGGTTTTCTTTTTAGGAAAAGGTTTTGAATTGACTATTCTTTTTTGGTAGGAAAAGGTTTAGGACTCTATAAATAGAGGCATGTTCCTTCTAACTTAATTAGCATTTACAATGTAGTTTTAAGGGCTTTGAGAGTTTTGGTTAGAGGGAGAATTTGTGAACCTCTCATGTATTCCGAGTGAATTGGTTGAGGTTGTTTCCCTCTGTATTTTGTAATCTCATGTTTATAGTGGATTGCTCATCTCCTTTGTGGACGTAGGTCGATTGACCGAACCACGTTAAATCTTTGTGTCTTTTGGTATATTTCTCGTTGTCTTCTTACTCATGGTCTTTCGAGGTTTGCTTTGCTAGCTTCCGCGTTTACACCTGCTTATTTCCGGTCCTAACAAGTGGTATCAGAGCCAGATTCAATGACGGAGTCAGGTTCAGTGGTTCGATAATCGAAGATTGAACAAAGTTAGAAAGAGGTGTTCATCTTGACGGGTGTAGTTCTAGCCGCAACCTTTTTGACAGTAATGAAGATTTTGTTGGAGAAATTGTTTCAGAGAGGTTCTCTGTGTTGAGACATAAATTTTGTAAAGGAGATTATGGAGAGGAGAAGCAAGTTATGGAAGATTAAGTAAAGAAGGTGGACAAATTTATTATGTCAGAAATTCAGACCAAGGGGGAGATTTGTTGGGTTTTATTTGCCCTGATTTCTTACCATAAATAGGTTTTCCTTTTAGGAAAAGGTTTTGAATTGACTATTCATTTTTTGGTAGGAAAAGGTTTAGGACTCTATAAATAGAGGCATGTTCCTTCTAACTTAATTAGCATTCACAATGTAGTTTTAAGGGCTTTGAGAGTTTTGGTTAGAGGGAGAATTTGTGAACCTCTCATGTATTCCGAGTGAATTGGTTGACGTTGTTTCCCTCTGTATTTTGTACTCTCATGTTTATAGTGGATTGCTCATCTCCTTTGTGGACGTAGGTCGATTGACCGAACCACGTTAAATCTTTGTGTCTTTTGGTATATTTCTCGTTGTCTTCTTACTCGTGGTCTTTCGAGGTTTGCTTCGCTAGCTTCCGCGTTTACACCTGCTTATTTTCGGTCCTAACAAAAAGATAGGTAAAATAATATATTTATTCCTTTTTTGTCCACCTTTGGAAGGATTATCAAGGCAATACTGGAGAAATTTTATATTGCTAACTCTATTACAAGTTTTAGCACTAATGAAATTACATGTGCTTTTTGAGGAATCACAACTCCATTACGTGTTCTAAGTTTCATATAAGTTGAGATACAAAGGAAATTGAGTGTTGGAAAATGTTAAATATGAGAATTAAAAGGGATAGACACATTGCAAGAAGCATCAGCATTAGCAAAAAAAATATTTTGTGGCTAGCGATTTAGTGTCATCGGCGGTGAATGATTTTGAATAAGAGGTCTTGCTGATCAGACAACATCTAATCCAAATAATTTTTTATACATATGTTATTTTATCAAACTTCAAGATATGTGTTTTTGAGTTTTTATTAAATTTATCAAGTAAACAATGAATTCAATAAAATGCACGACATTTATTGTACGCAAAAATCTTATAAAAGAAACACTCGAAAATGATGAAAAAAATGTTTATTTTTCTTTTTGGAAAGAGAAATAAAAGCTTATATCCGAGGATTCACATCTAAGGTGATGAAAAATCTAGAGTAAAATTAAGGATTAATAATAAAGTGTATTGAGACTTAGAATTAAATATTTTTAGTTGTAGGACTACAAAAATATCTTTGGATAAAATATTGTTGATAATTTAGTGTACTCACTTGAAAATAAAATCAATATGATCATCGATAAGCTTATTGAGATAGTTTATCACTGGGTGAAGCGCGGATAATTTACCTAGTATATAAATAATTACTAATGAAATTATTTTCTTATAACTATATATAAGAAGGAAAACAAAGGATGAAAGATTTTTTTCTTGATTTGGTAGAAGTGAAGATAATAATATTCAAGAAACCATTTAACAGTGTTTATTGCTAATAAAAACTAAAATCTCTACTCATTTAAAATAGGACAAAGAACTCCAAACAACCAACCAATATCCCTAATAGTTCTTCAAGAATGATACAAAGCTTTAGTCATGACAGTAGCATTATTATAACGAACTAAAGAAGATTGTTAATTCATGGAGATAAAGCTTAAGCATTGGGAATGAAGACTCTGGCAGATATTTTGTGAAATCTTCAAGTAAATCTGGATGATCATTGAGACATATGGCAACCTACACATAAAAGAAAAAAGATAGTCACAAATTAAAACATCAAGGCCATCTAATAATATTTGTGTATCCAAATTAAAAATGACTTATCACCTCATGATAGACATCATTGATGTTCTTGTTGTGCTCCTCTTTATACATCTTCAAAATGTCTAAGAAGGATTTGTACACATGATCGTCATTTTGAAAACGCTCCTACACAAAGTTATGACCGCAATATTCTTAATACTCCATATTCACATTCAAAACTAGAAAATATTTCAAAATACACACTCTTTGATGTTCTTTTAGTCTTTAATTTAGCTTTATAAGATGCAGCGGAGAAGTTTCAAATTTTGTCAAGGGTGTTTAGAAGTTTGGTATATATCTTTAAAAAGGTACTTTAACTCGTCTAGATCGTATTATTTTTTATATTAACAATAGACCAACCTTGGGTAATGTAGCTAAATCATCGATAAAACAAGTGCTTAAAATACAAATTTTTTATACCACTAATTGTTGTGAGATATACTTACAACGCATGTACAAGTACATGATAAAAGAAGTGAGAAGATAGAATAATAACCTTTACTTTCTTCACAAAGGTGACAACTTGTTCAAGATTAATTCTCTGTGGAGAAGCCTCATCTTGATCTTTGTCTTGCTCTTCATCCCACTTTGCAAGAAATCCAACTACAAAAGCAATTATCAATAATAATGAAAATTAATTTTCACAATTAAATTTACTATCATGACTTACCAACTCGTTCATAACGCTCTATAAATTCATTGAAACCCTCCATAAGCTCAGGATATTTTGCAAGTGTATTAGCAACCTGAAATAAGTATCTTTCATGCTTTCAAATCTATCATATCACAATTTGTTATTTAGTATACCGCTTGTCTAGCCTATGATTTGCAATCAAACCATTGATAGAAGAAACTGTAAACAAAGATTATTGTCGTAAAGGATGAAAAAATGATAGGTTAGATGCATGATCAACATACCAATCTTTGTAACCGCTCTCTTGTAATTATTTCTTTGCTATAAATATAAAGACATTTTAGGAATGCCTGATAATCCGCCCGACTTCTTACTCTTTCCTTTACCTTTTCCCAAAAAGTGAACTCTTTGACATGTGTGTCTGAAAAAATTAAACAATTATATTAAAAATCATACTAATCAAATAGAAATTTTCAAAAAGTGCTAATCATGAACTGACGTTTCAGTGCATCTTCAACTTGTTCTTCATAATCCTCAATGTGAGTTCTTTTACCCATATTCTCTTTTTCAGCACGCGTCGTTTTTTGCTCTTTATGCAACCTCATCAATGTTTTGTTGTTGTCCAAATTAGTACTTGAATTCAACAAGAACATAGTGCACTCATCTAGCAAATCTGGATGTTCATTGAGAATTATGGCAACCTAAATAGCCAAAAAAAAAAGTATGAAGGTCGTCGTTTATATAACATCTGTAAATCCAAATTGCAAATGATTTATTACCTCATGGTACACCTCTTTGATGTCCTTGTTCTCCTTTCTATACACGCTCAAAATATTTATGAAGGATTTGTAGTCATGGTCTTCTAAACGTTTCTGCAAGAAGTTATACTTGACTAAGTTAAGATTAAAATACAACCTTTATTATTAAAATTATAATATAACACATATCTAACCTTTATTTTGTTCACTAAATTGATTGCGTGTTCAAAGTCAAATTTACTAGCACTAGAACCTCCTTCATCTTTGCTAGCTAAGCGAGTGTCACCTCCTCTAATAATAAAAGAAAAGGCATATATACCAAATTAAATGGTCAATGTAATTATGTAATTATAGGTATGATCTAATAATAAATTAAGTGGGTGAAATTATGGAAGATTGCAAATCAAATGCTTGAATTTTTACACCTTATTGACGTCAAAGTATATAACTAAATGAGGTAACATTTTAATTTGTTACAATATCAATACAATTGCTACTTGGAAAACAATGTTGGAAGGTTTTCTAAATATCGAACTAAAAGTCTTAAATAAGGCTACTTTATCATGTGTTCAATTGAAACAAGTTGTAATTTGAGTGGCTAAATGAATTAAATTGATTTACAACTTCTGTATAACTAAAGGAGTACACATGTTTAAATGATTAACATATCTACATAATTAACACTTAAAAATACATACAAAAATGTTTATCAATTTTAAATTGAAACTTTGTGATAGAAATAATCATTCATGTGTTTCTAAGCTCATGAAGTGGAACAAGTTGTTATTCGAGTATCTACACAAATTAAGCCAACTTGTATTGTTCTCAAATTCAAGTACTGGTTAATATACGTTTTCATTCACTTTAATCAAGGTTTAACTTGGGCAGAACCAAAACATTATGATAGTCATGTACATAAATTAAAAATCACTACAGAGATACTTTACGATTCTCTAGGGAAGAATCAACTGACCTCTTAAGTCGAGGACAATCATGTGCATCATCTCCAAATCGCTTCATCCTACAAAAATAGAACAACAACAATATTTTACAATAAAAACGATACAAAAAAGGAATAAAAATGCATGCTCCATTCTCTAAAAGATTTCACCTAGTAAAGAAGAAAAAATGAAAATCTCAGTAGATCTATGAACAAAAAAGAAGCTAAATAAATTATCTAAATTAGAATAAGAAAAAGAAAATTCTTTTTAGATTCATTTTTCTTCTCTACCTTTTTCCTTTCCCCTCAAATGAAGTACAACACACACAAAAGGTGAGGACAAAAAATGAATTTAGAAAGAAAAAAAGTGTAGTTGTATATGTAATGTAAAGAGTCTCAATAAAATAAATTATGGACTATGCACATTATATATAGTTCCAAAAATTTGGTTGATGTGACAAAAAAAAAAGAAGATAAAATTTTGAAATTAACTCAAAATTAGGATAAGGCGTGAACATTTTTAATTTCAAATTGGAGCTCAAATTTTGAATTTAAATTTCAAAATCATACTTACTTATTTTCATAATAATAAATTGGACTATTTTGGATTATACTTTATAACTCTAGGTTGCATTTACTTACGATTAAAAATTTATAAATATTCCAAAAAAGAACAATTGATTATTTTTCTAGCAGTTCTGGAAAAGTTTTAAATTTGTGGTCAATGTAGTTTATCTCAAAATGAAAAAAAAAATTTGGTCAAATCTCTTTTCATTAATATTATGTGTTGATATAAAATTATGTGACTTGGTACAACATACCAAAATCGTTGAACATATAATTTTTGAAATTCTGGCCCTCATTTTAAAAATGATTGCATACATGTTTTCTTATCGCTGAAATAATATTCCTTTTTAAGAAATCAGACATTATTGATAGATTTTTTTATCGACGATTGATTCTATTTCTTTTTCAAATAAAAAAAATCTATCATTTAATTGCATGATTAGATATGTTGAAGTTATACATAAAATATAATAATACCTCGGGTTATTCTTGTAATATCTCACAATTTTCTACTCTTATATCCGTAGTCGTAAGAATATCAACTTAGGCCCGGTGATATAATACTTCTTCATATTTATTAAGGCCCATTCTTAAGTAGTAGAAGTGCTTTATATTTGAGTTAAAGTCATAATGAATCTTTAGCACAAAGTCGAGTTGAAAGGTTCCCTAACGACTAATTTTTTTAAAATTACTAAATTATTCAAAATAGTAAAATGAAAATAGTTCAATAAAAAAAAAATTTACATGTTTCCAATTGTCCTCTAGAAAAATAAAATTTTAAGTCACTATCCTATTAAAGTAATACATTTTTATTAAAAAGGTGAATTTTTTTATAAATTTTATTTTTGGAAAAGGGTCAAAGTACCCTTTGGACTATTTGAAAATGTTTAAATATAACCTTTCTCCATTTATGGGGATAAATATACCTCCCCGTCTTACTCCACCTATTTGGTCCATTTCTACCTTAAAACTAACCCCTTTTTTTATTAAAAAAATTTATTATTATTATTATTATTTATTATGTGTTAATTTCTTATTAGATAAATTAGGAAACAAACCATTTAATTGTCTCGACCCGCTCCGACCTATTCCAATACCCACAACCCCAAACCCAATTAAAGACCCATGAATTGATCGCTCTTTCTTTCTCCCTTTAACCCTAATAATAGCCTTTTCTTCTTTCCTCTTTTCTTCTTTAACAATTTCAACACTAATATCAATAAATGATAAATTTTCCAGTGCAACACTAATGGTAAGGAAGCAATGACTTCGAACAAGTTGGTTGTAGAGAAGAAACAAAGAGTTGGAAAATTAATGGCTAAGATGGGCAAGCATTAGACAAATAACTTATCTCGAAATAACTTGTTCATAGCAAAATGAATCTCATCAAACAATAGTTTAATTTCATTTTTTAGAAGAGATCAAACCATATGACACAAAGGTCAAGCTTTAGCATATTTGAGTATCATGTCGATAGGATAAAGACCATTCGAGTTAATATCTCAGATTGTTACTAAACTATGCACTATTCTTTCGGAAAGTCACTCAACTTTCAATTTTAACTCAAAAGTCACTCAATTATGCATTTCTCTTTCAGATTGTCACTCAATTTTAAATTTTAACTCAAAAGTCGCTCAACTATCTCCTCTTTCCTCAAAATATCACTTAATCTATTTAATTATTTCTTTTATTTTAAATTTGTTGATATTAATTGTTTATATAACAAATCAAAATTTTAAAAAAACAAAAATATCATTTAAACCATTTAGTGATCCACCCACCTAACCCGACCAATTAAAAAAAATATGACCTATTTTATTCTACCCTTAATCCTAAATTATTTCCCTCTTTGTAATGTGTAGAGGATACAGAGATAGAAATTTTATCAATCTGAACTTCCTTTTACTCCTTTGCAACTATATCTTTTGTTCTTTTGTTATCCGATCCACAATCTCTTCACTTCCTATTACTTGTGTGCCTATATCCCTTGCTTCCAAAACTGCAACCAACTAATCACATTGGCTAATCACAATGCATTAACACGACCAAAACAGTAAAATGGAAAAGTGTACTTGAACTTAGCTTAAGTGTGGATTTTAGGCATACAAATATGCACAATATCATGACCTATGGGAAAAGGGGGAGGAAAAGACAACAAATAAATAACCGACTAATTTATAATCCTTGAGGGGCTTATTCACGATTTACTTTTCATTATTTCATGTAGTTAAAAGACAGGTAAAATAATATATTTATTCCTTTTTTGTCCACCTTTGGAAGGATTATCAAGGCAATATTAGAGAAATGTTATATTGCTAACTCTATTACAAGTTTTAGCACTAATGAAATTAGATGTGCTTTTTGAGGAATCACAACTCCATTACGTGTTCTAATAAGTTGAGATAAAAAGGAAATTGAGTGCTGGAAAATGTTAAATATGAGAATTAAAAGGGATAGACACATTGCAAGAAGCATCAGCATTAGCAAAAAAAATACTTTGTAGCTAGCGATTTAGTGTCATCGGCGGTGAATGATTTTGAATAAGAGGTCTTGCTGATCAGACAACATCTAATCCAAATAATTTTTTCTACATATGTTATTTTATCAAACTTCAAGATATGTGTTTTTGAGTTTTTATAAAATTTATCAAGTACACAACGAATTCAATAAAATGCACGACATTTATTGTACTCAAAAATCTTATAAAAGAAACACTCGAAAATGATGAATGAAATGTTTATTTTTCTTTTTGGAAAGAGGAATAAAAGCTTATATCCGAGGATTCACATCTAAGGTGATGAAAAATCTAGAGTAAAAATAAGGATTAATAATAAAGTGTATTGAGATTTAGAATTAAATATTTTTAGTTGTAGGACTACAAAAATATGATAATTAATCTTTGGATAAAATATTCTTGATAATTTAGTGTGCTCACTTGAAAATAAAATCAATATGATCATCGATAAGCTTATGAGATAGTTTATCACTGGGTGAAGCGCGGATAATTTACCTAGTATATAAATAATTACTAATGAAATTATTTTCTTATAACTATATATAAGAAGGAAAACAAAGGATGAAAGATTTTTTTCTTGATTTGGTAGAAGTGAAGATAATAATATTCAAGAAACCATTTAACAGTATTTATTGCAAATAAAAACTAAAATCTCTACTCATTAAAAATAGGACAAAGAACTCCAAACAACCAACCAATATCCCTAATAGTTCTTCAAGAATGATACAAAGCTTTAGTCACGATAGTAGCATTATTATAACGAACTAAAGAAGATGGTTAATTCATGGAGATAAAGCTTAAGCATTGGGAATGAAGACTCTGGCAGATATTTTGTGAAATCTTCAAGTAAATCTGGATGATCAATGAGACATATGGCAACCTACACATAAAAGATAAAGATAGTCACAAATTAAAACATCAAGACTATCTAATAATATTTGTGTATCCAAATTAAAAATGACTTATCACCTCATGATAGACATCATTGATGTTCTTGTTGTGCTCCTCTTTATACATCTTCAAAATGTCTAAGAAGGATTTTTACACATGATCGTCATGTTGAAAACGCTCCTACACAAAGTTATGACCGCAATATTCTTAATACTCCATATTCACATTCAAAACTAGAAAATATTTCAAAATACACACTCTTTGTTGTTCTTTTAGTCTTTAATTTAGCTTTATAAGATGCAGCGGAGAAGTTTCAAATTTTGTCAAGGGTGTTTAGAAGTTTGGTATATATCTTTAAAAAGGTACTTTAACCCGTCTAGATCGTATTATTTTTTATATTAACAATAGACCAACCTTGGGTAATGTAGCTAAATCATCGATAAAACAAGTGCTTAAAATACAAATTTTTATACCACTAATTGTTGTGAGATATACTTACAACGCATGTACAAGTACATGATAAAAGAAGTGAGAAGATAGAATAATAACCTTTACTTTCTTCACAAAGGTGACAACTTGTTCAAGATTAATTCTCTGTGGAGAAGCCTCATCTTGATCTTTGTCTTGCTCTTCATCCCACTTTGCAAGAAATCCAACTACAAAAGCAATTATCAATAATAATGAAAATTAATTTTCACAATTAAATTTACTATCATGACTTACCAACTCGTTCATAACGCTCTATAAATTCATTGAAACCCTCCATAAGCTCAGGATATTTTGCAAGTGTATTAGCAACCTGAAATAAGTATCTTTCATGCTTTCAAATCTATCATATCACAATTTGTTATTTAGTATACCGCTTGTCTAGCCTATGATTTGCAATCAAACCATTGATAGAAGAAACTGTAAACAAAGATTATTGTCGTAAAGGATGAAAAAATGATAGGTTAGATGCATGATCAACATACCAATCTTTGTAACTGCTCTCTTGTAATTATTTCTTTGCTATAAATATAAAGACATTTTAGGAATGCCTGATAATCCGCCCGACTTCTTACTCTTTCCTTTACCTTTTCACAAAAAGTGAACTCTTTGACATGTGTGTCTGAAAAAATTAAACAATTATATTAAAAATCATACTAATCAAATAGAAATTTTCAAAAAGTGCTAATCATGAACTGACGTTTCAGTGCATCTTCAACTTGTTCTTCATAATCCTCAATGTGAGTTCTTTTACCCATATTCTCTTTTTCAGCACGCGTCGTTTTTTGCTCTTTATGCAACCTCATCAACGTTTTGTTGTTGTCCAAATTAGTACTTGAATTCAACAAGAACATAGTGCACTCATCTAGCAAATCTGGATGTTCATTGAGAATTATGGCAACCTAAATAGCCAAAAAAAAGTATGAAGGTCGTCGTTTATATAACATCTGTAAATCCAAATTGCAAATGATTTATTACCTCATGGTACACCTCTTTGATGTCCTTGTTCTCCTTTCTATACACGCTCAAAATACTTATGAAGGATTTGTAGTCATGGTCTTCTAAACGTTTCTGCAAGAAGTTATACTTGAGTAAGTTAAGATTAAAATACAACCTTTATTATTAAAATTATAAGATAACACATATCTAACCTTTATTTTGTTCACTAAATTGATTGCGTGTTCAAAGTCAAATTTACTAGCACTAGAACCTCCTATATCTTTGCTAGCTCTGCGAGTGTCACCTCCTCTAATAATAAAAGAAAAGGCATATATACCAAATTAAATGGTCAATGTAATTATGTAATTATAGGTATGATCTAGTAATAAATTAAGTGGGTGAAATTATGGAAGATTGCAAATCAAATGCTTGAATTTTTACACCTTATTGACGTCAAAGTATATAACTAAATGAGGTGACATTTTAATTGGTTACAATATCAATACAATTGCTACTTGGAAAACAATGTTGGAAGGTTTTCTAAATATCGAACTAAAAGTCTTAAATAAGGCTACTTTATCATGTGTTCAATTGAAACAAGTTGTAATTTGAGTGGCTAAATGAATTAAATTGATTTACAACTTCTGTATAACTAAATGAGTACACATGTTTAAATGATTAACATATCTACATAATTAACACTTAAAAATACATACAAATATGTTTGTCAATTTTAAATTGAAACTTTGTGATAGAAATAATCATTCATGTGTTTCTAAGCTCATGAAGTGGAACAAGTTGTTATTCGAGTATCTACACAAATTAAGCCAACTTGTATTGTTCTCAAATTCAAGTACTGGTTAATATACGTTTTCATTCACTTTAAATCAAGGTTTAACTTGGGCAGAACCAAAACTTTATGATAGTCATGTACATAAATTATAAATCACTACAGAGATACTTTACGATTCTCCAGGGAAGAATCAACTGACCTCTTAAATCGAGGGTTATCATGTACATCATCTCCAAATCACTTCATCCTACAAAAATAGAACAACAACAATATTTTACAATAAAAATGATACAAAAAAGGAATAAAAAGGCATGCTCCATTCTCTAAAGATTTCACCTATTAAAGAAGAAAAAATGAAAATCTCAGTAGATCTATGAACAAAAAAGAAGCTAAATCAATGATCTAGATTAGAATAAGAAAAAGAAAATTCTTTTTAGATTCATTTTTCTTTCTCTACCTTTTTCCTTTCCCCTCAAATAAAGTACAACACACACAAAAGGTGAGGCCAAAAAATGAATTTAGAAAGAAAAAAAGTGTAGTTGTATATGTAATGTAAAGAGTCTCAATAAAATAAATTTTGGACTATGCACATTATATATAGTTCCAAAAATTTGGTTGATGTGAAAAAAAAAGATAAAATTTTGAAATTAACTCAAAATTAGGGTAAGGCGTATGATTTTTTAATTTCAAATTGGAGCTCAAATTTTGAATTTAAATTTCAAAATCATACTTACTAATTTTCATAATAATAAATTGGACTATTTTGGATTTATACTTTATAACTCTAGATCGCATTTTCTTACGATTAAAAATTTATTAATATTCCAAAAAAGAACAATTGATTATTTTTCTAGCATTTTTGGAAAAGTTCTAAATTTGTGGTCAATGTAGTTTATCTCAAAATGAAAAATAATTATTTGGTCAAATCTCTTTTCATTAATATTATGTGTTGATATATAATTATGCGACTTGGTACAACATACCAAAATCGTTGAACATTTATTTTTTGAAATTTTGGCCCTCATTTTAAAAATGATTGCATACATGTTTTCTTATCGCTGAAATAATATTCCTTTTTAAGAAATCAGACATTATTGAAAGATTTTTCAATCGACAATTGACTATATTTCTTTTTGAAATAAAAAAAGCTTTTATTTAATTGCATGATTAGATATATTGAAGTTATACATAAAATAAAATAATACAGTATAAAATATTTGAATTTTAAAATTATATGTCACCCATTTTTCCTCGGGTTATTCTTGTAAAACCTCACAATTTTCTATTCTTATATCTGTAGTCGTAAGAGTATCAACTTAGGCCCGGTGATATAATACTTGTTCATATTTATTAAGGCTCATTCTTAATTATTAGAAGTGCTTTAGATTTGAGTTAAAGTCATAATGAATCTTTAGCACAAAGTCGAGTTGAAAGGTTCCCTAACGACTAATTTCTTTAAAATTACTAAATTATTCAAAATAGTAAAATGAAAATAGTTCAATAAAAAAAATTAATTTCTAACATGTTCCCAATTGTCCTCTAGAAAAATAAAATTTTAAGTTACTATCCTATTAAATTAATACATTTTCATTAAAAAAGTGAATTTTTTATTAATTTTATTTTCGGAAAAGAGTCAAAGTACCCTTTGTACTATTTGAAAAGGTTGTTAATATACCCTTCCTCCATTTGTTGGGATAAATATACCCCTCAGTCTCACTCCACCTATTTGGTCCATTTCTACCTTAAAACTAAACCTCTTTTTTTTTAAAAAAAAAATTATTATTATTTATTATGTGTTAGTTTCTTATTAGATAAATTAGAAAACAAATCATTTAATTGGCTCGACCCGCTCCGATCCATTCCAATACCCACAACCCCAAATCCAATTAAAGACCCATGAATTGATCGCTCTTTCTTTCTCCCTTTAACCCTAATAATAGCCTTTTCTTCTTCCCTCTTTTCTTCTTTAACAATTTCAATACTAATATCAATAAATGATAAATTTTCCAGTTCAACACTAACGGTAAGGCAACAATGACTTTGAACAAGTTGGTTGTAGAGAAGAAACAAAGAGTTGGAAAATTAAAGGCTAAGATGGGCAAGCATTAGACAAATAACTTATCTCGAAATAACTTGTTTATAGCCAAATGAATCTCATCAAACAATAGTTTAATTTCATTATCCAGAAGAGATCAAACCATATGACACAAAGGTCAAGCTTTAGCATATTTGAGTATCATGTTGATAAGATAAAGATCATTCGAGTTAATATCTCTGATGGTCACTCAACTATGTACTATTCTCTCTGAAAGTCACTCAACTTTCAATTTTAACTCAAAAGTCATTCAACTATGCATTTCTCTTTCATATTGTCACTCATGACTCAACTTTGAATTTTAACTCAAAAGTCACTCAACTATCTCTTCTTCCCTCAAAATATCACTCAATCTATTTAATTATTTCTTTAGTTAAAATTTGTTGATATTAATTGTTTATATAACAAATCAAAATTTTAAAAAATAAAAATACCATTTAAACCATTTAGTGATCCATCCACCTAATCCGACCCATTAAAAAATATAACATGACACATTTTATTCTTCCTTTAATCCTAAATTATAACCAGTGGTGGAGAAGGAAAAATAAAAATGTAGAGGAGCAGAGAGAAAGAGAGGGAATGATTTAGGATTAAGGACAAAATAAAATGGGTAATATCATATTTTTAATGAGTCGGATTAGGTGGATGGATCATTAAATGGTTTAAATGATATTTTTTATTTTTTTAAAATTTTGATTTGTTATATAAACAATTAATATCAATAAATTTTATTAAAAAATAATAAAATAGATTGAGTGACTTTCTGAGGAAAGAGGGGATTGTTGAATGACTTTCTGAGAGAGAAATTCATAGTTGAGCGACTTTCTGAGAGAGAAATGCGTAGTTGAGTTACTTTAGAGTTAAAATTGAAATTTGAGTGACTTTCTGAGAGAAGAGTGTATAGTTGAGTGACCATATAAGGTAATAACTCAAACTATTCTATTAAACTATAAGAGCAGTGAAGAATAGCAAAACACCATTCTACCAAACTATACCAAAACAGCAGAAAAACACATCTAAATTCTACCAAAAAACATCAAAACTGATATTTTAAAAAAAAGACTCTACCAGCAAAACTATACAAAGCTATACCAAAATTGCACCAAAACATAAGCATAACTGCACCTAGATTCTGCCAAAAACTAAACCAAAATTGTAGGGGGAAAAAATCAGTGGCACAAAGGTAACAAATGTGCATTATAAGGAGATAAAAGAATTGAACCAAAATTTAATACTAAACTGCACCAAACCTAGTCCAAAAGTGAATAAAATTGGTTCAAATTTACTTCACTTACAATGGAAATACATTCCAATGAAAGTTATGAACTGTACTAAGTCATAAAAACGCACTAGCATTAACCAAACTAAATTACTGTGGATAAACATTGTCTCATAAAGTAAAAATGTTTTTTTATCTTGTCATTCCCAATAACGACAACCATTCGTTTAATATCGCCAACATTTGTAGGTGTCGCAGCCGTAGAAAAAGAAATTGACGTCCATTCTGCAATGACATATGTGGGGCTCTCCTTCGTCACGACAAGGAGTAGAAGAAGATTCAAACATTTGAATGGAGAAAAGACTTGCAAAATCAGTACTCCTTAGTATTTGTACTAAAAAAAATTTAAACTAATTTGATTTGAAATAAGATTGAAGAAGAAAGAGTCACTGGAATTAAAGGAGAAAGAAAGAGCATTAATCTAGGGTAACTTTCACATATAGCAAACAAAAAATTCATATTTGTATAATATAGCAACCTTTGCATAATTGCGCTCCATAGTAAACATTAAAACTGTATAATTCGCTATACATATACAAGTGTATAATTCGCTGGCCTAAATTGTATAATTCGCTGGCCTATTTCGCTGCAATTGTATAATTTGTTTTGCATATAGTTGAATCGAATTAAAATGTATGTATATTGCATAATTATAAGTTTATAGCAAAAAGATATATGTTTTTCTCGCTTTATACAAAAACAGAAACACAATATATATACTTCTGTTGTATAAAGCTAGAGAAAATTGTATTTCACTGCAATTGTATAATTCGCAATTGTATAATTCGTTGGCCTTTTTCTCTGCAATTTTTGAAGTAAAATGTTTGTAAATTGTATAATTAAGTGTACAACACGAAGATATACATTTTTGCATGTGTATATACAATTTTCTCTCGCTTTATACAAAACAGAAACGGAATTATACACTTCTGTGTATAAAGCGAGAGAGGCGAGCGAGACTGGAGAGTGGCGAGCGAGATTCCTAGGAGAGAGACGCTGGCAAATTTTAGATAATGTTTGCTATGGAGCATAATTAAATCAAACCCTAGCTATTCTATTTAATTTAGGTTATTAGTTGCTATTTTATACAATTTTCCCATTAATCTATGGGTCTTTTAATTGGGTTTGGAGTTGTCGGTATTGGAATGGATCGAGCGGGTCGGGGAAGTTAAATGATTTATTTTTTAATTTATCCAATAATAACTTGACACGTAATAAATACTAATAATAATAATTTCTTTTGAAAAAAAAGGTTAGTTTTAAGGGTAGAAATGGACCAAATAGGTGGAGTGAAGGGTATTTTTAGCCTAATAGATGAAGGAAGGGTATATTTAAACATTTTCAAATAGTCGAAGGGTATTTTTGGCTCTTTTCCATTTATTTTTACTATCAAACTTAACTATAAATGAAAATGTTAAAAAAATATGCGGGACGGATTCATGTAGAGCGGGTCTATGCGGGGTGGACTGGGGGCGGGTTGAAAATGAAAAAATATTATGCGGGGCAGATTAAAAATTTTGTGGTTTAATGTCAGCCCGCCCTACATCGCCCCACCCCTTTATCATCCCCACCTGCACCAAGCAAATTTATATAACTCACATCTTTAATTTACAACAAGCATCAATTTTACAGATCCGAAGATCCAATAACGGAAAACAGAACAAGTAGGCCAGATCAGAAAAATGTGCTATGTATATCATCTGCTCAAGCAATGTTACATGTTTATAAAATCAATTACAAGCACTTGATGCATACAATAGAACTATGATATAAGGTGAACATGCTTATAATCTCAATTACAATATAATGATTGGGTCGCATATCATCTGATTCACTGCACTCGTTCAATATTCGAACTCTCCATCCTCTTGTTGTTTAATTGTCATTAAGCTCTCCTTATAAAAAAGAACACCATAACCATCATAAAGTGATATTCGAGAAATTTTAGTTGCCAAAATGAGAGAGTTTCATAACACGACGTAATCTTAGAAAAGCATTGAAAGGTAACAAGTTTGTTCTAGACCCCTAATTGGATCATTACCCATATATCATAAGCAAAATTTTCATCTATGTTCAAGTTCAAGATGGCAATGGAATCATTAAGCAACATCATGCCCAACATAGAATTATGAACAAAGTGACAATCTGGCCCTTCAATCTCTTCATATATTTAACTCCCAAAGTCGAATGAAAGAATGGAGTAATCAGTAAGGGACAATCTGGCCCTTCAATCTCTTCAAATATTTCACTCCCAAAGTCGAATGAAAGAATGGAGTAGTCAGTAAGGTTCCTTCATTTAGCAACCAGTAATAAGCTCCATTCAAATAGCAGTACCAAATGTATGTTTCTCGTCTATAATTAAGATAAGTGGTTCCTTAGGTTTGAAAATTCTTCATGAATCCCTAGAATAGGAATAGATCACTGCTGCATTTTCATGCAAATAGCAAATCACTTTATAGTCATTAGTCAAGGGATCCAATCCCAACCCAAACACAGGGTAATGATTGATTATGGGTGGACAGAGATGGAGGGGGTCTCACCTTCCTAGTAGGAGGATTTCATAATGCACACGAACACACATGATCAATTACCCCAGTCTTAAGAAACAAGTCGTTCACACACCCTGAAAGGTATGTCATACCTTTGATGACTTGGGGATTATCTTCATAAAGTAAATTTAGGGAACGGGAGTCATCAAGAAGGTTACCAAAATTATAAAGCAGGAGTTGTGGGGGTTTATTCTTGCTACAGTTCAAGTGTTGTTTAACGAATTCAAAGGTTTTGATAAGAGCATACAAATTCTTGCGGATACATTTGAATCTCAACAATGACTTCACAGGACACCTCAACATAATCTCCTTCACTACATCTTCAGGCAAAATAGCCATAAATTCATCTATGTTTAGGTTTCAACAAAAGCAATTTGTTTCTTTAAATAGACAAAGGAGAAATTGTCTCATTCTTATCCTTCATTTCTGTTACCATCATTAAATTTGTTCAAAATTTAGGCATGGATTTCTAGTTACAACGTTCCTTCTTTATCATATTAAATTTTGTTATATATTCAAGTATGGAAATATAAAAACTTTGACTACTTTCTCATATTACGCTGACTTCGTTGTTGTTAGGATTAGTTACTACTCTTTTTTTTAATATTAAATTTTATTATACATTTAATGATGGAAATCTAAACACTTTGACTACTTTCTCATATTAACTTGACTATTTCCCTATCACGGACCGAAATCTAAAGTCATAATGGCATCTGCTATAACCAACCAGTAGGTAAGACAACCCGAATTCGAAACTACAGGTAACATGCAAAATGGGAGAATCAACAATCAATCAAACAATTTAA